AGGCCGGACCCTCCCATATACGTGTATATGGATATTATATATCCGGCCGGTTCCGCCGGTGTGCGCCAGAGCATTTTTTCTGACCCAAAGTCTGTTATTTTGTGAGAAATTTATGAATAAAACTTTTGAATTGTGTGTGTGTTTGCATGAATTTTTATTTATGGTCTATAGAGGGGAGATCGGCTCGGTTTTCCAACCGGTTTTAAAACCGTTTTTTTTTCGTTTTACTACCGTCGGATTTTTCTCAATGTTGATTTTTCGAATATCGAATAACTTAAAAAAACCGGCTTCGAATACTTTTATTTTTGCATTGAATTCAACGAATACTTGAATTAAATTTTTAAGTGAATAATAATACATACCGTAAAATTTTGACAAATGTTGGGTCCAGGGACTAAAATACATTTGAACACTAACTGTTTTTGGAAAATGTCTAATAATCGATCAGCCTAGTAGATATGTATATGGACTAGCAAGGGGTACGTACGGCAGCTCTTCCTTAAAATTAAATATAAAAATTCGTGTGCCTGTAATTATAACCGCTAAAGTCTATTATAGTTTCCACACTATTTTTTTGTGCAATTCAGATCCATACATGTCCAATGTTCAACAAAAATGGAAAAGTACATATATCGAATTAGACAAAAAAGCTTCTAGAATATGAAAATCAGGTTTATTTAGAAGAAATATTTACTAAAATTGTTTGATTGATTGTAATTTTTAAGTACACTGAGCTTTTATAAGTAATTGGAAATTCGTTTTTACTTAAAAGATGTATGTTATATTACATAGTGAGACAAAATAAACGATAATTGAAAAACCTGGGAAGCAGTGTTGCCATTTTAGCACTTTCAGTGCTAGATTTAGCATTTTGCATCGTGAAAATGCATTGAAGTTTTTAAAATTATGCTAAATGCATTTTAGCATAATTTGCTTGATAAAAAAAATTAAAAAATATGTTTTCTGTTATAATTAAGTATAGTTTAACTGATAAAAATATTATTGAAAATCAGTGGTTGGATATTAAAAAAAACTGATACAATGTCTTTTTAAATTCAAGTATATAAGTTTGAAAATTTTATCGGTGAAAATGCATTTAATGAATTGTCTATTTTTTATTGTCATTACTCGTTTCACCTTTTTCTAATGTCGAAGTTGAAAGGCTTTTTATTTCAATGGCTATAATTAAAAATAAAATTCGAAATCGTATTTAAACTCAATTTCTATGTTCAATAATACAAATTCGAAAAGAATTGATTCGAAATGCATGCTGGCAAGTGGCCTTAATCATAAACAAATTTTAATTTTATTATTTATATATATAAGTTTTATAAATCAAATTTTGTATGGAAATTTAGTATTAAAAATCTTTTACAAAATAAAATGTTGTTTATGAATTTATAACTAATTATATTGCAAAGGAAATAAAATCATTTGGAAAATGTCAAAATGAAGATAACGATGAAGATATAGTACCAGAAATATTGAAGTCATGCACTACATAATCAGTATTTTAATAAAAACTAGAAAAAACAAATATTTATATTGTTTTGTTATATTAAAAAATTTTAGCACTTTTTTTCTTCTGTAGAACATTTTAGCACTTAGTTTTTTAAGTTTTAGCATATTTTGAAATTCATTTTCTGGCAACACTGCTGGGAAGTGATACTATTTTTCTGATGGATTTTCTGGTGGATCCGAGTTGAACAAGAACACTTTTTTTAAATTTTCAAAAACATCTCTAAAATCTTGAGTTACGGGTAAAAACCCGGGTTTTTGTACCATTAAGTAACTTAGTTGAATCGCAACCGATTTTAAGTTTCTCCACGGATTTAAAAAGCAGAAGCTGAGGCCTTTATAATGACATATATAAAGTTTAATTATCCTGGAGAGATATGTGTGAATTTCATCAGCAAACATATTTTTTATTTCAGTTTTGCACCGTTGTCCAAGTTTGGAGATGTTTTTTGAAAGTATTTTATATAGGAACCGTACTATTTATTAACTGATTAGAAACCCACGTTTACTCATAAGTAAAACCTAACTGTGTTTTTAAAAATACGTTAGCAATTGACGATGTTATTGATCTTTTTCTTAATACAAAATTTTTCCAAAACTGATTTTCCGAAATATTTTTTATAGGGGGGATAGTGCTAAATATGGGCCAATCCTCATACAATTTGGTGGAAGGATTTTGATTAACATGAAAGTTATTTATGCTGAATTTCATCTTAATATTGATGTAATTAAGAAAATTATGGAATTAAAGTCGTTTGTTTAAGGATGATTTGCATGGGGATCCGATCAATACAAAAATCGGTATAAATGAGTTTGCTGTAATATTTACTGATACTGCTGATTTTTTAGATCATAGGGTCTTGTTTGACCCTAGTCCCCATACAAAGATGTTATACAAATACAAGATGCTATAAAAAAATTATTCTCTAATATTAGTTGTAAACTAAAAACTAGAACTGTAACACATTACATAAGAAACAAAAAAATATCTTGTTATAACACTTCACTTTATACTAAAATTCAAATAAATACGGAAATGTTAATTTTATCCCCCCATAATTATTTTTCTAGTAAATCGATAAGTTTTATGGCAACAATTGAAGCCCAAAGTCTCACCTACCAAACAAAATAACCGGGTTCAAAAATTTCGATACAATCAAAAGTGACCACAAAGTTCTTAAAGGAAATGGTCTAGGCTTTCTTTTGAGTAAAAAAAATACAACAAAAACGTCCATTTTGGAAAAATGTGGGAAAATTAAGTGCCAAATATTGAAATATAATTATAATTTATCCTTGAGTTAAAAAATAATTTTTATAGTATCCCACTCGCATCCCATTATGGGACAATAAAGCCCTTCAAGGAAATTGTATAAGCTTTCTTTTAAGCAAAAAAGGGCCCATTAAAAAAAAAAATAAAAAAATATTTAAAAAAAAAAAATTGGCAGATAGAGCTTTGTGTCTGGCCTACTATCCCATAGTAATTGGTGCAAATATCATCCAAATCGGAAGTCATCGGGCTAAAATTCGACTTGAATTTGGTTTGTGTATTTATAAATCATTCAGCGAAATTTTTTCACCTCGGTTCATAACTGGCCAAAGCTCCCATATAAGGTCCACTTACGATATTATTTAAAAGCTCAATTTTATTCACAATCAAAATTATCGGAATAAAATTCGACACGAATGTGTTTGTTTTTTTTGTTTTTCGAAAAGTAAAGAGAATATTTTTCTACACTGAAAATAATCCATGCCTAATATATACGAAAAATGTCGTACATTGTACGAATCTTTCGTTGTTTCGCACCACGAAATTGTTTAGTAATATATACGAAATTGTGCGAAAAATTGTAGTATAATGAAAAAAATCTTACATAGTAAAAAAGACTGTAATGCTAAAATAATTTGATTTTGATTCAAATAAAATTTATATTCGGATTGTGCCCAACAACATTTTGCATTTGTACTTATAAGTCTGTTTCTGTTGTCCCAAAATGTAAATTCATTGTAGATCTCACTTTTCCACTTGTTTCACAATGATTAGAGTTGTGCCGCTCTCAACTAAAACGCTCTTTTTTTGTGATTTATTAAAAAGTTTATACTACGTCAACAATTCAATTACAAAAAAAAACATTGACACATTGATTTAGTGTATCACAAAATAATAAATTACCTGTTGTTCTTGTAATTGTTTTGTAGTCACAGTATAACCTTTTAACTTAATCACTAAAAAAGAGCGGCACAACTCTACCAATCATGTCATTGACAAATGCAAAATTTTTTTACGACAACAGTAATATTATTCGATTCATAAAATAAATATTTCGTGGCAACAAACATTTTTATTTTCTGCAAATGCAAATCATATACGTCAACAGCAATTTTTAATGTGCCGTTATTTCAGAGGAAAACCTTTAACTACAAAAGTCAATTTGCAACAAATAATTTTGCTGTTAAAAAACTTCAAATACTTTCATGTTGTTGCGGTAAAAAAAAATATTGTTGGAAATAAATATTCTTGCGACAAAAGGTTTTCATTTTCTCCAACAAGTTTTTAGTTATCCCAATAGCAAAATCATCAAATGCTAAAATTAAAGATCGGTCCAAAATTAACCCTTTGTATATAGTCTTCATCGGTATATGACTTTAACGTTCATTGCTGGCTTAAAAAATAAGAATACAATGATAAAAATCGAAATAAACAAGTTTTCTAGGTAGTGAAATCTCCCTACCGAATTTGATGAGAATTGGTCAATAAGTGACCCTATTCCGTATAAAGTCCAATCCAGGAAATGATTTTAACACTTATTACTAGCCTAAAAATACAAGTATAGCAATAAAACTCGACATACATATATGTATATGCTCTACTATACAAACCAAAATCTATGTACAAAATAAAAAAGGTTCTCTTTAGAAAATTTATTTTACGCTCAATAGGAATAGTGCTTTAAAATTTGAAACAAATAAGTATTATATGAACCAAAATCTGTCTACCAAATTTTTTGAGGATCGGTCAATAATTAATCCTACAACCAGAAAAACAATTATAAAAATTCTCAAATATCATTTGTTTTTAAAACCTCCCTTTAAAATAAAATTCAACATAAATCTAATAAATTGGAAAATTGTTTTGACATAACAAAAGCATCGATACATAAATATCAAAAATTATTTATAGGGGAGCATTCCTTTACCAATCTTAAAAAGCAAAGTTGATTTTGAGAAGAGTAACAAAAACGTGATTTTGCTATCCATAGAGTGAATCAGTCATAATTCACTTATTCACAGTAGTTCGGGAAAAATAACACAAAATTTTATAAGGATCGGCCTATATTTGTTCCTAATCCTTTTATAATGAAAATTTAAAAAAATCGCCAATAAACTACTCAAATATATGTATATCGGAATAAAGGTAAAATTTCACATTGTATATTTTTTATATATTTTAAGTGGATGTACATGAGGATAAAATTAAAGCTTACCTGTAATTTCTATTGCTAGCAGCGTAAATAATAGGATTTATTACACTCGATGCCCATGCCATTACAGATGCAACAATGTGTAACCACGGATAAGATGTATTTCGTTCATCATCCACAACATTTGCTAGCATAAGTGGTAAAAAACAAACCAGAAAACAAACAAATATCATGACCATCATTAGCGTCAATCTGTTATCTTCTCTGCTTTTTCTTGCGTTAAAAATGTTCTCTTTGGTGGATACAACATATTGTCGATGATTTGTCATTCTTTTCTTCTGTTTTAGCACTTTAACATAAATACATGTATATGAAATAATAATTACCAAACAAGGCAACAAAAATCCAATTAAAAAAAGCGTTTTTTTAATAGACTTGCCATTTTTCTTTAAAATCGTGCAAGAAAATGTGACTTCGTCCAAACCCATTTCTCCCCAAATTCCTAAAACAGCAGGTAACTAAATAAAAGGTATATAAGTATAATAAGATTATTATTCATTAACTACTGAAGTGGCATTGTTATTTGTATGCCTTTTAATTTTTCAAAGTAATGTTTTCATAGAACAAAAATTACAAAAAACAAGTGAGAGTGCTATGTTTGACTGTGCCGAATCTTGTATACCCTTCACCATAGCACAGTGGGGCAGAATGGAAATTTTTTGGAAATAAATCTGGCATTTCTAAACGGCTGATCCGATCGGGATAAAATTTGGCGTGAGCGTAGCCAAGGAGTATTCGAGTTTAAGTTTTGAAGATGAACCCTGCAGATGCCCCAGGGACGGCGCTGTGGCGGCTCAAAGTAGGGTACCTACGACATGTAAAATTTTTAAACTCGTGCCATTTTTTTGTTTTTCACCCAAATACAAAGATTTTTATATTTTGTGAGAGCGCTCGACGAGATCTTGAAAAAACATGCTTGGACATACTACTTATCTCTTATAATATCCGAGTTATAGGCATTTAAAAATTTAGTGATACAAAATTTACCATACCTTGGTCCGCCTTTTTTTGAATACCGGGCGTAATTTTGGACCAAATGGACTCAATTTTTTCTTGTTAGTTAGACAACAAAATTTCCAATAATATACAAAAAATTTCAGATCAATATTGTTTACAGATCCAAAAATATACGTTTTTTAATTTAAAAATTCAAAAAATTTTAGATTTTTGGCGTTTTTTTGCCAAAAATGTGTCTAAACTCTTTTATTAATAAAATAAAATTTTTATTAAGAACATATAACAATTTTATAGTTTTCTAAAAGGTATCTTTACGCAGAACGCTTTGGCGTAAAAAACTTGTCCTATTTTTTGAAAATGTTGCCACTGCGTCCTTCCGAATATGACCTATTTTTTATCAAAACTTCAACTTTGGGCGACATGTTCTAAAATCATTTCATTGAGTTTTGTTCATAAATAAAGATTTTGTCATATATTACATATTTGTTTAATTTCTAAGACTATGATTTATATCAAAATTTTAATAGGATCGCAGATAGCTACAACAATTTAGTCCATATTTATCCCTTAATATCATTTTTTAGTTAGATATGGAAATTATCGACCCTTTACAAAAATTTCAAGCCAATATCTCAATTACATTCAAAAATATGTTCATTTAAACCTGTGTCCTTTAATTTCATCTTTTTCATATTTTAGTATTAAGTATGACAGAACATACATTTGGTGTTGAATAAAATATTTGGACAATTTTTAAAAATTATTTAGTTAATTATTTTATTATAATATTGTATATAAAATAAAAAAAATTATAATTTTATTATGAGCCACGCACAACAACACCTAAATCACCCCACACAAATTACCTTTCCCGCCCACCGAAATATAAAACACAATATCATCAGTTAGTATAATAGCTTTTTTTATTTGAACTGTTTATCTTAAACATAATACAATTAATTCTTACAACCTACTTATATAGTTAATTCCTAACACTACTTATTTTCTATAAAATAATCTGTCATATCGGTATACATATCCAGAAGGTAATATAAGTCCTTTAAATCTTCCTTGTTTTGAGATGATAGAGTTTCATAACAAATCCATCTTTTTCGCATAGTTGAAAGAACAGGATCAGAAGATAGAAGTAAACTATTAAAAATATCTTCATTCTGTGATTGCCTGGAGCATTTTCTTGAGCTGAATAGTTGAACATGCTTAAAATCTCAATTCCTCGCTTCCTGGGCTTCTTCTGTTAACTCTCCAAGTGGAAGAATATTCGATTCAATTATTATTTGACCATGACACAATACTTTGTGTACTGTTGGTGTTAGTTCCCTCCATGGATACAGAGATACAAGTAATTTAGAAATTTCAGATGTGTATTCCCCAAATCGATTTTCATTAATTTTATGTTTACTATTCAGTGCCATTAAAATAGTTTTAACTCTTCGAAGCAACTCCTTGTCGATTCCAGTTATTTTTGAAGTAATTTCAAAATCACGAAAAAACCTTCTCGACGTATTACCGTCATTTGTACTACCGCAACTTGAAAGTGGTTTGTCGATGTTTAATCCCATCTGAACTTTAAATTCTTCATGGATTCTGCTTTTTTCCGCAGCTCTCAGTTCTTTCAATTCTTCATTATTTTTTGTTGATTTAGTAGGATAGTTTGTTTTTTTTTCCTGGATCGCCTTGTATGATGGTAATATATTGTGTCCTTTTTCATGCAGAGCTTTCCTTAATATTTGGTACTTATTTCGACTGAGACCCAGTTCCAACATAAGCGCTATTGCTTCCTCTTCAGTAAAATTTGATTATGATGTTGGAGTTGGTATACTTTCCACAATTCGCTTAAGTCGTTTTGGTGATGCATTAGGAAGAATAGTTGCAATATGTACGACATCCATATGTTGGTTTTCCTTTTTCAGCATTTCGTTAAATGTATCAGCAATTTCCTCATTTGAGATTGAAAAAAGTTTTTGTGTGACCCTCTTTTTTTTTACCTTGAACATAAGTCTTCGTATGACTTGCAAGGCGTTCCTGTTGATGTGTTGTAAGTTGAGATTTCCGTAGTAGTTTCCATCCAACTACAAAATTTTAATCGAAATTTCTTTTGATTTCCATCCACAGACTTACTTTTTACATCAAAAAGTTTTAAAAAGTTTTCAATTTTTGATATGCCTGTTTTGTCTACTTTTCTACTATATGTAGTTTTTATATAATTTGAAATGTCTTCAATTCTTTCTGGCCCTTTTGAAGATATACTCCATAAAACGGAACACAACTCTTCGTACTTTAATGTAATCTTCATTGTAGATTTATTAAATATGGTACTTAAAATCTGAGAAGTTTACTTATATACCAATTCTTGTCATTTCCGATACAGGTATTCCAAAGTAAAAAATTACGAATTGTCTACCTATTAACATTTAGGACTATATTACTATAACCTGTAATTCAGTCATTGATATTTCTTATTAGTGAATGAATCGAAATTATCATTACCTGTATATTTTTACCTACATGATCATAAACGAAACAGAACGAAATGATCTGTCGAAAAAATTTAGGTAAAAAATAGTTATAAATTTTTGAAAATTTAAGCATAATAGGACCTTTCAATTATAAGGATAAGCAAACAAATAGAAAATAGGTAAATATAAGATTTAAATATGTGCTGTCATACTTAATACTAAAATATGAAAAAGATGAAATTAAAGGACACAGGTTTAAATGAACATATTTTTGAATGTAATTGAGATATTGGCTTGAAATTTTTTGTAAAGGGTCGAGAATTTCCATATCTAACTAAAAAATGATATTAAGGGATAAATATGGACTAAATTGTTGTAGATATCTGCGATCCTATTAAAATTTTGATATAAATCATAGTTTTAGAAATTAAACAAATATGTAATATATGACAAAATCTTTATTTATGAACAAAACTCAATGAAATTTTTAACGCTTGTTAAATTTGTCATTTCAAATAAGAATATGCAAAAAAAAATTGAAAAGGTCAAAGGGCATCCCGCAATTCCCAAAAATAGGAATGAAAATCCCAAAAATGGGATTTTTTACTTTTTTGCCCATAGGGTCCACATTTCTTTCAGGGCTGGGAAAATACTTTTGGAGTAAATAGAAAACATATTGAGGTTTCCAAAACTGCTTTCAGTTTTCTGATCCCAGCTTTGGGATTTTAGAACATGTCGCCCAAAGTTGAAGTTTTGATAAAAAATAGGTCATATTCGGAAGGACGCAGTGGCAACATTTTCAAAAAATAGGACAAGTTTTTTACGCCAAAGCGTTCTGCGTAAAGATACCTTTTAGAAAACTATAAAATTGTTATATGTTCTTAATAAAAATTTTATTTTATTAATAAAAGAGTTAAGACACATTTTTGGCAAAAAAACGCCAAAAATCTAAAATTTTTTGAATTTTTAAATTAAAAAACGTATATTTTTGGATCTGTAAACGATATTGATCTGAAATTTTTGTATATTATTGGAAATTTTGTTGTCTAACTAACAAGAAAAAATTGAGTCCATTTGGTCCAAAATTACGCCCGGTATTCAAAAAAAGGCGGACCAAGGTATGGTAAATTTTGTATCACTAAATTTTTAAATGCCTATAACTCGGATATTATAAGAGATAAGTAGTATGTCCAAGCATGTTTTTTCAAGATCTCGTCGAGCGCTTTCACAAAATATAAAAATCTTTGTATTTGGGTGAAAAACAAAAAAATGGCACGAGTTTAAAAATTTTACATGTCGTAGGTACCCTACTTTGAGCCGCCACAGCGCCGTCCCTGGGGCATCTGCAGGGTTCATCTTCAAAACTTAAACTCGAATACTCCTTGGCTACGCTCACGCCAAATTTTATCCCGATCGGATCAGCCGTTTAGAAATGCCAGATTTATTTCCAAAAAATTTCCATTCTGCCCCACTGTGCATAGTGTGTTAAAAAGTTTGACTTTTTCGAGTCCCAATAATAATATTTTTAAATAAAAGAATACTGAAAAAATTAATTTTTATTGAACACAACAACAGAATGGAATGCATTTACGGCTTCTCATCAGCAATTTTCTGTTTGCTGATTTTCCAAATGGTAACCATTTTTCTCCAAATTATAATGTTTTTTTTTTGACCACAGCCTAAAGAATATTCAATTATTGAATTTGTACGTTGTTGTCGTTTTCTAGTCTCTGCATGCATAAAAAATAATTATTTGACGTTATTTTCGGAGATTATCTCCGTAATAGAGATATATATGTAGATAGAAGATTTAGATCCCGAATATATGCATATGCGGTCTTCAGAAAATTGATTTCATCAAACATACAGACAGACAGTCGGACATAGTTTAATCTCCGCTATCAAAAGAATCATAAAGGGTATAACAATTAACAATTTAACAATAATCAAGAAATGTAAAACCGCTTCCGTAGTTAAAGGTTAGCATTTTTTCATTGTTAAAATTTTAATTTAAAATTGTCTTA